ATAAATATTTATATATATTTATAAATATTTATTTATATTTTTATTTTTTATATATTTTTACATGTATAAATAGCCTTATAATTTATAATATAATTAAAAATTTAATAATTTTCTTATTTTATATTATATATACAGCTAAAAGATGTTTTTATTGGCGATTATTTTGGTGAAGAAGATATAATTTTTTTATAAAAGTAAAGAAACTATTCTGTTTATTGCTAATCTTTATAAGGATTATTACTTTTTATTTAAAAAAAATCTTTTTTAGATTATATTTATTTTCAGAATAACTATTCGAAATAATATATTAATTAAATGTTTGGTAAGAAATAGGATAATATAACTAAAACACATACAAATATTAAATTTTCTTTAGACAATTATGGACAATATCTTGTTAATGAAAATTTTAATAAAAATCCTCATTTAATTTAAAGCGAGTTAGTTATTAAAAAACAAAAAAGTATTTAAAATGATACTATTTTTGAATGTTTTCCTTAAAATAAACAATAAAAGACTAATATTTTACATTCAAAATCTCTCAATATTTTAAGCCCTGCCATAAGTCCATTAAAAGTTGCTTTTTAATAAAAAAAAGGTTTTAATATTTCAGAAATTGCACCAAAAATATAATGTCCACCTTCTTTAAAAGATTTCGAAGATAATTAAAACGCAATAAAATAAATAAAAAGTACAGTTGATATTTAGGAAAACATTAAAATACTAAATTTTAGTACTAAAATGAATTCAATTGAGAAAAATTTGGATGAATCTAAATAAAATAATGAAATTTTATTTAATTATTTTGGTGATGTTGGCTCTAAAAGTATTTTCTTTTTTATTTTTATTTTAAATAAAATAAAAAAGAAATAAATATAAATGTTAAAAAAATGAAAGAAATATTATTAAAAATAAATGAAAAACATGAAAAAAATATAGAAAATTTAAAATAAAAATGCCTTAATTTTATGAGTATAATAGATTAAGAAAATTCTAAAGTAAATAATTAAAAAATTATAAGAAAAAATTCAAAATAACTATATAATTAAGATTATTAACAAATACTTTAAAATCCAATAAAAAACGATGAATTTTTTTAAAAAAAGGACTAAGTAATTATACACAAAAAAAAGAAGAAATTTCTTAATAAAAAAATGAAATTTTTTAAATTAAAGAAAGGCATTTTTCGTTTATTACCTTATTAGAAAATAAAAAAGATGAAATTTCTTAATAAAAATATCAAGAATCTACTATAAAAAAACCAAGAAAATCTTCATATAAAACATAAGAAAAAGTCTTAAATTAAAAAAATAAGAATACTTATTAGTTTCTTTTTTCAAAAAATAAGATTAATAAATACTTAATAATGATCAATATTTGAATAGAAAAATAAGCTTTTATTTATAGAATTAATTTTAGAATAATGTTAAGTTTTCTTTGCCGGTTTCTAGAAGACAAATATTAGTTAATGAATTAAATAAGTAATTAAAAAATAAATAAAGAACAAAAGAAATGTAAATTAATCAAGAAAAAATTATTATTTTATTATAAAAAGAAGTTGATAAAATAGATAAAAAACCTATAAAATTTGTAGTTGTTCCTAAAACTAACTTTTCTTTTAATAGAATTTATTATGATTAGAGAAAAAGAGATTTTTCAACAAATAATTCTCTTCATTTTTAATAATAACCTAAAAATATTTAAACTAAAATTTTTAATAATTAAAAAATTTAGAATGTTTTTTAAAATAAAAAAGAAAACCGTTCTTTAACTTCTTAATATATTTGAACTAATTGACTTATATTTTAAAAAAGTATACTTTTGCTTTATAAGTGTTTTATTGTATGTATTTTAATTTTGTTTTGATAAAATAAATAATTTATATTTAAAATTTTTTTTATTATAATTATTATTATAGATTATATTATTTTAGATTATTTTTATTAATTGAGCTCTTTTAAATATTTTTTATAAAAAATATAATTAAGAACTATTAATATATTAGAAGTTCATATATTATTTTTATATTTTTATATCTAATTATTAAAAACTTATTTCTTGAATATCATTACTACCTCGTATTATAATTATTTCATTTACTTGTTAAATTAAAATAAAAAACTCACTTATAAATTTAATAAAAACAATTTTTAATTATTTTTAATTTAATTGTTATTTATTTAAAAATTTAATATTATAACAATTTATTTTTTATTATCTAAATAAAAATAAATGAATATTAAAAAAAATGCTTAAGCAGACACTCCAATAATTTAAAATGATTAAGGGAAATAATAATTAAACATATAACATAAAAAAAAAATTGAATAACAAAAAAGTGAAAATCCAAGTAAGAAATAAAATTAATTTTTTTAAACTTAAATAAAAAAAGTTTTAAAAATAATATTTAAGTAAAAATACTTATAAGCTTATATGTATTTTTTCTTTATAATATTTAAATAGAAATTAAAAAAATTCAACATATGAGTTCAATTAATTAAAAATTGTCAAAATTTAATAATGGTTTGAATTAAGTTAATATAGATGAAACATAAAAAATAAAAGATATACTTAAATTAATTTTAAAAAGCAAAATATATGATATTTTTATTATTATTTTGATTATTATTTTTATTTGTGTTATGTTTAGTTATTTTGCTTTAGAAAATTAATAAAATGAAAATAATTAATAGATAACATATACCCTTAAAATGTTTGAATTTATAGAATTAAGTTTACTTTTATTATTTTTAACTGAAATTTTAATAAATATATATGTTTATTCATTTAAAGTAAATATATTTAATAAAAAAATAATAATATATATATATAAATATAATATTAAAATCATAGATTTACTTTAGTGATTTAATGTATGTTTTAGATTTTATTATAATAATTTTTTCTATAATAATGCTAATTATAGATATTATTTTACTAAATTAAAACTTCAAAAAAATAACCAAGATTTTAAGAGGGATTTTTAGATTTTTACGTTTGTTTTTAATTTTTAGGAAAGTATAATTATTTATAATATAAAATTTATAATATTAATATAAATAAATATAATATATTTATATATATATATTTTATATATATTTATATATATATATATATTTTATATAATAGATTAATTAATTTTAGAGAATAAAAAAAATAAAAAAATACATTCTTAAATAAAAGCTCCAATAGAGGATGTTTTAGAAATACTGAAAAACTCTAAATAAAATATTGAAGATGAAAATATTAAATAAAAAATAAATTGGTAAATCTTTTTTTTTTAAAAATAGAATAATATATTATATAAAAAGGTGTATTAAAACTATTTCTAAAGGCAATATTTATGAACCAATATTAAAAAATAAAGACGCTAAAAATTGGCGTGACTTTTATTAATAAAAAGTATAAAAAAAACCATCTTAGAAATTAGAATAAGTGAAAAATATCAAATAAAAATTTAATTAAATTTAAATACCAAAAGAATTGGAAATTTCTTTTGTAAAAATTGAAGATGAAAATTTTAATGTTTTTGATTTTTTCGATAAAAACGATAAGGAAAATTTGCCTTTTTTATTAATTTTTTTATTTGGGAAATTCCGTATTTTTGATTAAGAAAATTTCGATCCTTTTTTTTTATTTAATTGGGCATCTAATATAGAAAATGGATATTTAAAAAACCCTTATCATAATAAAATACATGCTTTTGATGTTTTAATGGTAATTTTTATATTTTATATTAGAATTATAATTTAAATTATTAGACTATACATATTTATCTTGAAAAAAAAGAATTTGCCTAAATTACTTAATTAAATTCTTTAGAAATAGCTTAAATTTATATTGCTGCAGCTGCACATGATTACGGGCATCCTGGGTAAAATAACACTTTCTTGATAAATAGCTTACATTAATTAGCTATTTAATATAATGATTAGTCTCCTTTAGAAAATTATCATGCTTATTAGTCATTCCAGATAATGAAAAAAGAAAATTGTAATATATTTTAAGGATTTTAGAAAGAAAGCTTTATAAAATGCCGAGAGAATATAATAAATATGATTCTACATACTGACGCTTTCCATCATTTCGAAGATTTAGGAAAATTTAAAAGTCGAATAAATTCTATAGGTTTAAATTTTTATTAGTAAAATAATATAAATATATATTATTTTTTGTATACATATATATATAAATATTTTTATATATTTATAACTTTTTATTAGATTTTGACCCTATTAATAAAGATAAATAATTATGTATGTTTTTTCTTCTGCATTCTGCTGATATTTCTAATGTAACTAAACCTTGGATTTTATGTAAAAATTGGGCTGAAAGAGTTATGGAGGAATTTTGGATATAAGTAAAATATTTATTAATTAAATAATATTCATACTTATATATATATTTTAAAGGGAGATGTTGAGAAAAGTAATAACCTTAATGTAAGCTTTTTATGTGATAGATATAGTACTAATGTTAGTAAAAGTCAAATCGCTTTTATTGATTTTATCGCTGGACCTTAATTTGATGCTTTATAAATTCTTTTGCCGAAAATAGATTATTAAATTAAGTGTATTTAAGATAATAAAATCAAATGGAAAGCTTTAGAAGATTTTTATGAAAAACAATTAAAATAATAAAATAAAATTTGAAAAAATTTAATTTATACTTTTTTTTTATTTTATTTTATTTTTCTAATAAATAAATATTAAAGTCAAAAAATATTGAGTTTTTTTTTTATATATAAATATTTTTTTAATGTAATTTTATGTTTTTTTTCATTTATTTAATTCCTATTCTAATTTTTAAATACATTTTACTACTGAAAAGTCTTCTTTTGAACCATCTTATTTAACAGCGAAAAAGCATCTTGTATCTTTATATTAGGGATGTACATCGACAGTAAAATGATCTAGATTTTCAATTTTTTATTGTTATTTATCATGATATTTTAATATTTCTCTAACCTATTAAAATGTTTTTAGTATTTAAATATTAAAAAAGACTTTATAATTACCATTTTATGATAAGGTTCAATAATTTTTTAATTATTAGCTGTTCTAGCAAGAATTCCTTTAAAAAGATTTTTAATGGAGTTAATATCTGTATATTTTTCATCGGCAAAATCGAATTCATTTTTTAATTTAAATTCTTTTTTTTTATCTTTTTTTTATTTTTATTGCTACTCTTTTTCTTTTTTTATTTTTATTTTTTTTTTAAAAAAAAAAAATTGTTTACTTTTTCTATCAATACATCCATTGAAATGTTTTCCGTGTAATTCCCAGAATTTTTATAAATCTTCATTTTAAGTCACTTATATATGTACTTTTACACCCTTATCAAGTTCAATTCCATCACTAGTAAGCTTTTTTGTTATTTAAAATAAATAAATATATCATAATTATTCTTATTATATTTTATTTATAAAAAAAAAAGAATACTCTGTCTATTAATTCTTATTTAGTAGTGGCTTTATTCAATGCAAAGTTTCCTTCTATTTTTGCAAATCTGCAATAAGGAGCAACTACTTAATGTTGATTTTCTAATTATTCCTAAATTAATTTCCAATTTGGGACTCCTTCGTGTTCTTTATTGATTGTTATGGTAAAAATTATTCTTTTATTTTTATATAAAAATATTTTTATTTTATTTTCTATTTTTTTTACGGTTCAAATTTTTCTTCAAAATCGCTTTTTGGTTTTTGATTTCCGTTTGTATTGTTTTGCTCTTCTTAAGAAAATTCGGGTAATTTTAAGTTTCCTTTTCTTCTTATAGAGCTTTTGTTTTAATTTAATTCAACTTCGGTTGATTATTCAATAGCTTGGGCAAGTTAAGATACATCTTTTACTCCTAATTTGATTATTTTTTTGCATTTTAATATCAAATTTAAATCTAAAAAGCCCTTTTTTATATTTTTAATTTTATTAAAATGGTTAGTTTTACTTCAGGATTATTTGAGATTTCTTATCTAAAATATTTATCTGTAGCTAAGTTTTTATCTGATAAATAATATTCAATTTATTTTTATACTTCTTCATAATTTATACTCATTTTGCTTTTTATTTTTTTAAGGTTTTTATATTATTTAGTTTAATTAATAATATATATTTATTTATTTTTTATTTATATATTAATACTAATTTTAACCTTTTTTTTTTTAATAGTAGAAGATATAATTTGATTTTTCAAAAAAAAAAAAATAATATTTATTATATTCAATATATATAAAAATATGTTTAAATTTAATTTAAATTTTATTAAAATTGTAATTTAGAATTAAATATATAATAAATAATTCACAAATATTTTATAAAATATATATTTTATATATATTTTTTAAAAGTATAAATATCTATAGTATAATATTCAATTAATATTTCATACATTAATATTCTAACTTTGTTATGGATAACTATAATTGACATGCTATTATTTATTTTAACTTTTCATACTTTAAATATCTAAATTATCTTTAGAAGAGTTAAATTTTTGAATATAGCAACAATTTTAATCACTAAATTCATCTAATTTATCAATAATATCTTACCATTATTTTTCCTCGAGGACTTATGGGGTTTAGTTATCTTTTTATTATTATTATTTAATAATATTTTAATTATTAATTATTATTTATTATTGAATATCAATAGTTTTTTCTTTATTATAAATTTAGTCTTTTAATTCCTCAAGTTTTTTTTATTTTTTAAAAAAAGCCGATTTTCTTTTATCGTTTATTTTTTCAATTTTCTTTTCTAAACTATCTAATGTTACTTATATATTAATTTTTTTGCTTTATTTATTTGGAGACTATAATTAAATAGATTACAGATTATTTGAAATTATGTTTGTGTTTCTCATTGAATTTTTTTACGATTATTAAATAAATTCAACTTTTTAATTTTTTTCTTAAGGTATTTAAAGCTTTTATTTTGCATTTCTTATTGATTTTATATTTTTATTTATGCATGTACCCATTTTTTATATTTTTTATATATATATATATATATACTTTTTTTTTTTTTTCTTTTATTATTCCTTAAATTAATTATTTTTTGTTTGTTTTTTTTACTGTAAAATATTTTAAGTAAATTTTATTTATTTACCTTATTTTTTATTTATATAATGTTTATTTTTAATTATATTGATTTTTAAATTAATATATAATATAATTAATAATTAGTTAAGTTAGTATTATATAATTATATCTATTTTACATGATTTTAAAACGGACTTCTTTTAATTATTAAAAATTAATATAACGATTTTTAATACTTTTTTTTTTTAAATAATAAGAAAAATATAAAACAAAAACTCTCAAAGTAATGAATTAGTCATATACCTTATAAGATAGTTGTAGATTTTTCTATTTTTTATATTAAAAATATTTAAAATTAAAAAATAAATTATTATTTATATTAATATAAAAGTTAATGATTATTTAAATAATAATATAGACATTTTCATATTATAAATATAATATATTTATTTACAATAAAATAAATAAATATTTAAATTTATATAAAAAAAAATTATTTTTATTTTTTAAATTATATTGAAAAGATATAAAAGTGATAAATTAATTTTTATTAAAAACAATAATCAAGATAAAAATATTTTGATTAAAAAAAATAAAATAAAAGTATTATAAAATGATATTATAATTAAAATGAATTATATATTAAATATTTAATAATTTATAAATATTTAAAACTATATATATGTAATATAATTATAATAATTTTATTTATAATTAATCTATATTAACTATAAAAAGGCTTTATTTTAATGCCTATTTAAAATTCTAATTTTATATTTTACTCTATATGTTTATTAATACAATTAAATATTAGATTAATCAATAATTAAACCTTTTAAATAACATTATTAATATAGTAATAATAATTATATATAATTTTGATTAGAAAAACAAATGAAAATAAAAAAATATTTATTTAATAAAATATATAAGGATATAATAAATTATGTAATTTCTTTAAAATTTTTGTTGAAAAAAAAAAATTAAAATAAAATAAAAAATCAATTCAATAAAAGCTTAACATTATTAAATAACTTTTAATTTTATTTTTGTGGTAAAATTGTAAAATCATATGAAACAAAATAAATTATTAATAAATAAAATTAATAATGTTTCAAAGTAATAATAAAATTGATAAAAAGAAATGTTGTTAAATATGTAATATTAAATTTGGTATTACAGTACATAGACATGTATGTAAGCGCTGCTAAGCACTCATATGTTCCTAATGTACAAAAGAAAAAGCATAGGTATTACATAAAATATTATTAAATATGTTTTTAATTAGATTATTTTATATTATAATAAATCTAATCACAAAATATGTCTTAATTGTTCAGACGATTATCATCATAATATAGATTTAAGAAATTCAGTAATATTTTTAAAAAAATGAACTATATAAGAAAACCAAATATAAAATAAAACCATAATATACAAGGCTAAATTAAAATGGGGATAAAATAGTAATATAACAAAAAAATGGTTAAAAAGTATAAATTGTGTAGAGTAAAACATAATATTTATTAATTTTGTTTTGTTAAAGAATATTTTTTTAGAAATTGTTAAGAAGAATTTATTTAAATTTTAAAAAATTTAATGACTTAGAATAATAAGAAGAAACTATTTTCGAATTAAAATATTATTTAATATAAATATAATAAGTAAAAGATTTTTTTATTATTATTATTTTTTCCATATAAATAAAAATATAAAGTACTTTGAAAATTTAGAAATAAACTGTAATATATCTTTTTTAGAAATGATATATAAAACAGCACTTGATTAAGGAATAAATTTATCATAAATGAAAGAATAAGTGACAAATGTAATGAAATGTTTTTATATGAATTTTATAGATTAAGAAATATAACTATAATTTAGATAAGTAAAATTTATTTATTCGTTTTGTTTTTTTTTTATGTTAAATAAATAAAGGAATATTTAGAAACTGCTATATTTTTAATGCTTTTTTGCTCTGAATATAATTCTTGGAGAATAATGAAAGAAATATATGGAATAATAATTCCAATTGAAAATGTATGTCATTTATCTAGTACAAATAGTATATAATATGGAGATAAAAAATTAATAAAGTTTTTAATGGGAAAAATTTAATATGATTTAAATTCTTAGGAATGTAATAATATATTTTAATTTATTAAAAATTAAGGAATAAGGATTCTTAATTCCTTATTTATTAATTAAGTTAATTTCTAGATTTCTTTTTAAATTTTTAACTAGATAATATGTATGTCTTATGTATTTTTATTTTATATAATATAACATAAAAATGAATTTATATTTATTATAAAAATATATATATATATATATATTTAAGTGTTAAAGATGGAATGAATTATTAAGATGTTTTGGCGTATTTCTTATTTAAAATTAAGAGTTAATAGGATAATAATATGATAAAAATTCTTAGAATGACTTAAAATAGGAAATTAATACTAATACTCATTGGAAAGATTTGAAAGAAAAACTGGAAAGTTTTTAACTTTTTGAAAATGACAAAAGAAATTTCCATAGATTTAGTGGCATTGAGGATGATTTAAATTGTCTTAATATTAACGATGATTCGAAAATGGAAATTAGGGGAAGTATTATTGAAGAAAATGCTTAATTAAAAAAAGAAGTTGTGTAAATTTACAAAGTTAAAGCTGTAATTAAATAGTAAGATGAAAATATGAATAAATTAAAGGAAGATATTGCTAACTATGAAAAAATTAAAAGATTATATGATAATTAATTGTTAAATTTAAAAGAAAAAGATGAAATTATTGAAGGTTTATAATAAAAATTAATATTAAAAACTGATAATAAATGTTTAAATTGTGAAAACTTAATAATATAATAAGATTTAATAATAAAAAAGTATGAAGAAAACATAGAAGAATTACAAAAAAAATTAAAATATTTAAAAAAAAAAAAATTGTTTTTATATTTTGAGAAATAAAGAAATGAAAAAATAAAATAAAATTAATAAAAATTTCTATTCATAAAATAATAGTCCTTTTAAATAAAAAGACTATATTATTTTCAAAAAATAATAAGAAATTCCTTTAAAATAAATCGAATTTAATTAATTTGAATTATTATAAAAAGATAACCTATAATAGTTAATTCTTTAATAAAAAAACGGAAACAATTAATAAGAAAATGCAAAAAAAGAAGAATAAATATAAAATTAATAATAAAATGGAAACTCTTCTTTATCAAATAAAATATAAAATATAGACGAAGATGTTTAAAATATAAAAAATGAATAATTACTATAATAAATTAAAACAGATGGATAGATTATATAGAATAATTAATAATTAATTAATTTATAAATAAATAGAAAACATAAAGAATAAAATATTAAAAAAAAAAATAGTATTAATAATTAAATAAATAGAGAAAATCAAAGTTATTAAGATTCAAATATATAATAGGAAGAAAATAAAAAAATTAAAATCTAATTTAAGATATATAGGGAGAATTTGAGAAAAAATAAAGGAAATTTAATAAAAATATTAAGAAATAGAAAAATAATATTAAATATAGAAAGACATTAATATTAACTATTCAAAATAAATAGAATGTTATCATGATAAAATTAATTCTTTTAATAATAGATTTAAGTCTTAAGGCGATTAAATATATAAACTAAGATAAAATTTATAAAAATTGAATACTGAAAACGAAGATTTATAAAATCAAATTAAAAATTTCAAAGATATTAATTCTAATCTAGTTTAAGAAAACAAATGTCTTTTAGAATATTTATAAAAAATAAATAACGAAAAAATAT